GGGGGGGGGGACCAAAACATTTAAAGGAAGTAAATAATTAAAGGATTTAAATGAGATGATAAAGAAAAGAAAGAAGACCAGCAAAAGAGAAATAATTTATTAAAAACTGTCGTTTAACATGTCTGTCATAAAACAATTGTCAAATATTAAATGTCTTCTGTACATCTACCTCACACTCTTTAAACATTAAAAACTGAAGCGTCACACTGGAATTCATGTTTGGTTTCTGTGAACAGTAAAGCCCTCCTTCTTTTAGTTGATTGGCCATCTCAATCATTTTGACATTGATGAGCACTGTGAGTTCGCTGAGGAAAACTAGTCTAAAAATTTAACTTTTAGTCATCCAAACAACAAACAGGGTGGAAGTGCAGCAGAGCAGCATCAAGAATATCAAATATCAGAGGGAACAATTTGGCCAAAGTCATGGGTTCAGTTCCCATGGAGTGCATGAACTGATCAAATGTACCTTAAATACAATTCAAGTCAAATGCATTATTCAAGTTTGAGCATCTGCCTAATGCATAAATCAGAATCAAGTTTTAAAAGTTAAAAGCATTTTTAGGCTGGTCTGCCTCAGTGACCTCACAGTGCTCATCAATGTCAAAATGATTGAGATGACCATTCAAATTAAAGAAGGAGGCCTTTACTGTTCACAGAATCTGAACACAAATTCCAGCATGATGCTTCAGTTTTAACAGTGAAAGAGTTAAATGTAGCCTAAATGTTTAAATGCTGATACCTATGTAGGCCGTAGACAACAAAGCAGCTCACTAGCTTTTGAAACAGAGCTGAAACACGGTACAGTTTAGCATCTCACAAAGCAAAGTGATGTTTAGAAGCGTACAGACCTGCAGCGAGTGTAAACAGATGGAGAGAGGCCTTACCCATCAACCCGCCTGCTCTCCAAGCCCACACGTGCAACTCGGGGGGCTATTTTACAGACAAATTACACCACGGGGCACGCTCTCCATTCGCCAACCTGTGTATCTGCCCTGCCTATTCGCCACCAGGCATTCCTTAGCACAGACTGAGACATCATGCTCTCCTGCGAAGCTAATCGTGCTTCATCCCTAACGCATCAGCGATATTTTCATCTCTTCCTGTCATAAATTTTCACTGGCCCGGTTAACAATCGGGCCAATTTATTGGCATATTGGCATGAGGTGATAAGGGCTAAAAACAACAGAGGCGAGGAGCCGCTCGTGGAGATGAGCTGATAACACAGATATGAGCTCCCATACAAAACATCTCACCCTCCAGCACCTCTCTATCAACCTCTTATTCCGATGAGAAGAACTGAAAGAGGAGAGGGCGAGAGGGGTCTTCGATTCGCCGGTGGGGGCGGGGACCAAAACCAACGCAAAATAAATATTAATAAAAAATGGAATCAGATGTAACGTTTCAGGGCCAAAAAAACAAGGAGGAGAAATACATAATTTATCACAGTATTATCGGGATATCCAGGCAGCCTAATCAAGGAGCAGTGGATGACTATTTTTTGCCTTATCATCCAAAGTGGTGGAAACGGAGAGGGAATTATCAGCTGGCTGCAGATTGCTGGGTTGGAATTTTAATGGTAATAATCGCAGCTCTGATGGTATATCTCCCTGCCTTATCTTTCCTATTATCTGGCCCTATCTCACAGGCATCGCTGCAAATTAATGGTGCTTTTTCAGCACGGCCTTTTTATCAATGCTTAGAGAGCACCCAAGGGGAGAGAATAAGCAAAATATTAAAATACTGCATAAATCACAATTTTAGATAACCGACCAACGTATGGCGGTGAAGGGGGGGGGGGGTTGTTACGGTGCCCAACAACCTTTTTGTCCTTTAGAATGACTCGGTCTCTCTGTGCACTGGATCAGACGGCCTCTTCCTTTCTCTTCTTCTTCCTGAAGTGCCGGAGAGAGGAACTACGGGCTCCGCGTGACCTTTCAGAGCCAGAGACAATACCCTGATATTATGAATGCTCTAGTAACGGAGCTGTAAGAGCTGTTAGATAACTCAGACCTCAGTTCCTGGACATCTCGGATGCATTTCAGAAGGAAATCGACGCAGATCGATTTGCATGCAAATGCCTCGGTCAACACTTTAATGACTCGAGCTCATTTCGGGTATTCAAAAGCTGTCATGCTTGTCGAATGAGATAACAGAAAGTGCCACATCAAACAAAATATGCAAAGATTGCTTTGCACTGACTGAAAGCCTTCAAACCTATTTGCATTTACTGTACTGTATACAGTCAAACAATATTTGCTGAACAATCTCACAGAATACATCTCAATGTGTCACCCAAGTGACAGGATGGTCAAAATAAGACATTTTCAAGGGAACATATTTTTCAAAAAAGTTAACTTAAATCCTAAAATATATGTACATGAGCTCAAAAGAAGCACATACGGTCTCAAATTCATACACACAACAGAAACGTTTCCTTTCACTAGTACAAACATACAAATATTGAGCGGCGACAAAGACATGACTTTTAGAATTGTGCAACTAGTTTATCTCGCTTGTTCCAATCTCCTTGGCTCAGTTTAACGTGTTACTTAAAAAAAAAACATTTCACAACAGAGGAAGAAGATTCTTCATCTTTCTTCCCTGCGTTCCAAACACACACACACACACACACACACTTCTAAAGGCCCTGATCAGCGATCGCACTTCGGCTCTTTCATTCACAAAAGATGAATGCAACAATAGCCAGCCTATTTAATTATTCTATAAAAGACAGAACTGCAATCTTATTGTCTGAACTTTTCACTTCGTGACATGCTGAAAATATTCAGGTACTAGCTGTATCATAAAACTGTCCTAAAAATAGGCCCTGAAAAATGGAAATGCTCAAGCTACTGATGCTGTATATTTTATGAAACACATGATTTATTTAACTCTGTAGAGCTCTGCAGAATATTCTAGGCTGAGATGTGTCATATTTATTAATTATGAAATTTATTTTAGACCATAGAAATACTTTTTGGAAGAATGCATTTAAAGAATGCAACAACTAAATGGGTTTTGTTTTTACACATTTAGATATTGAGTAAAAAGGCAATTAATTAATTCACTTTTTTTTTTTCTAATTGCATTATCATAAATACAGAAACTATATTTCAGTCTTTATTAGCATGCATGAGGGATTCCGGCCAATTTTTCTGATATCCACAGCTGACTCTAAACAGTCCCTTAAAACCGTAATAAGAAATGCTGGACGTAAAACTATAGTGACCTAAAAACTGAATGATGATTCAGCTATCATAATTTTATACAGCTTGCCAAACAACAATGACGCTATATAAATGTCAAGAATCAAAACATGGCATTGAAATGTCATAACCAATGTATTGCCTGTTAATCATGGAAAACATCTTCAAATGGTCAAATACAAAAAGACTGAAAGATGAACGACTCAAAACATTATTTACACCTTTTTAAAGAATCAGCTGAACATCTTTAAAACAACTATAAACTAAAAAAATTCTCACTACAGAATATAAAACTTCAGCACTAAACAAACACATGCATAACTATTACAAAAGCACAAAAACAGTTGCATTTATTTATTTATTTACCTGAAACTGAAATATGCATAAAGAATAAAAAGAGCAAAATTGAAAACCTCAAACAAGACTTCAAATGTCACTATTATGAAAAACATCCCCACATGCCTCAACAAAAAAGGACTGACTGTAAACAGACCCTCCTGAGGCTTTGCAAGAAACAGCTTATCATCTTCAAACCTAAAACAACTACTTTATTTAGTTTCTGTGATTGCCACTATATGAAACTTTCAGAATTAAATAAGCACGTGCATAAATATGACTACATATAAGCAAAGACACAACAAAACTAGAATATGCACGGATTATAAGTAAATGCAGAATGAAAGCATAACAAACAACTCTTAAAAATGTTACATTGACCGTACCACGCAAAAAAAATAAGCCTCGTCAAATACAAAACACCGAATCAAACAATATTTAAAGAAGGACTGAAAGAAGAACATTTGCACCTGCTGCTACTAGCAGTTGTGATAATAAACTGATCTCTCGCTATCTCTCTTTCATCCAACTTTACTCCGCTTGGCTTTGAAACAAATAGTAATAATAATAAACAGAGTAACTTACGTTTGATTTGCCGGGGGTTGCTCTGCTTTCTGCGGGACATGTTGATCCGGATGATTATTGATTATTAATTATTATTATAGATTATTATGAGGTTATTATGGATCATCCAAGAGCCGAACGGGTCGCGGAAGGAATGAGGATTATTCACAGGCTCTTGCTCTCACACACGCTTCCCCCTCGCTCAGTGCGTGCGTGCGCGCGAGTGTGTGTGTGTGTGTGTGTGTGTGTGTGTGTGTGTGTGTGTGCGCGGAGCTGCGGTCGGTCGGACTGACGGCGGAGGGGAAGGCGTTTCGCGCTTTTGTTTGAACATGAAGTTTGATCCACCGCGGGCGCCGTACACACACAATCTCTCACATATAATGCTGTTAAACTTCACCGTTCATGCGGATTATTGTTTCAAAAAGCGCTAAACTCAGGCCAAATGTGTTCATTCTTTTTGCATAAAAGTTATTTAAAAGGAAGTCCCGAATAAAATAGACTTATTTATGTATTAATGACTTAATTTATCTATCGAGTATAAAGCGTTAACAGATATTACCAAAATAAGTGTCCTCAGAACTGCCCGCGTTTTTTTTAGCCAATCAAAAACTTAAATTACCTGCCAATCATTGTCTGTGTTCTTTTTGTTTGGCTGCCATTCTTTGGAGGGCGGGGTTTTGGAACAGGTGTAGTTGAAGTTAGATAATAACGCCTTTAATGGCATCCATTGAAACTACCACGTTTAAGCATTACTTTAAATATCATTGATGACTTAATGTATATCATAAACAATTTATATAGAGGCTGGGCTGACAAAAACACAAGATCGTGTGTTCCGCTGACTACCGCGTGCGTTTTTTTTTTACTGTATATTTATTGTAAGACACACTTGACTCAATTTATAATTTTCATAAACTTAAAAAAAGTTTTGCTGACAAATGTAGTGGTTTTTGTGTGAATTACTTTACCAAATATGTTTTTTAATCAAAAAGAAGAGTTTATGACAAATATACAAATCTATTTATATATATATATATATATATATATATTTATTTTTAATATTGTGTTAATTAATAGTTTTGTACTTTGGTGTCTAAAAATAATATAGAGAAACAATGTCATTTTGACTAATAGTATACATATATAATTCTTTTAATTTTGACCACTGATTGACATGTAGATTCATATGTAGTTTCTGTGCATCAGTAAAATGCCCTCATATGGAATCTGTGCGGGGGAATCTTCGAAATTAACTTCCATAGCACTTTTTTTTTCTGTGTATTTGTGAATTTTGTAATGAATTTTGTGAATGAATTTTAAAATGTTATTGATTCAGTGCAGTTCACTTTTATTTGTTGAACACAATAAAAAACTCTAAAGCAGCTAAAGAAAGTTATGAGCATATGTCCTATTCAGAATGATCCAGTTTTAAAATTTGAAATAAAATAAGAAAGCCATAAAAAAAAAAGTTGTTTAATGTAAAAAGCAGAGAACAAAGAACAAATGTTAAATGGCTCAAATGAATTTCCATGATTTTTCCAGTCTTTCATGATTAATGGGTGGGGATTTTTGTTTAAAAAAAAAATCATTTACAAGAAAACAAAGGACTTTTTCAGAAATCACCTGAAAACAAACACAAATGAAAAAAGTGCATATGTTTTACTTAAAAAAGTTATCTTCAACTAACTCAAGACTTTCAATGTGCTACTTTCAGCATGTTTTTGATGAAAAATACGTTCATATATATTCAAAAATCCTGCAACTTCCACGTCACAGAAAATCCCTTTACTCAAATTTGAAGTATCATTTCTTAAACAGTTTCAGGGCCCGGAAATCGCCTTCTTCAATTAGCCAGTTGAACTGCCAAGTAAGACAAGCAAGTCGCCTGTGAAATTATCTTGTAACCCAATTCCAGGGCTTTGGAATGGAGTCTGAAACTACGGCATAATTTCAAGGGGTTAACTAGTCAACGGAGCTGCACCTTGAGGAAACCTTTATCTGCCTCTGTGCAGTTTGCTTCTGTTTTCACCAGCCATTACACTCTGGCAAGAAGTGTGCTCTTCCCAGCGTCCTCTGCTCCAGCGCTGGCGGGCTGTGAGTTCCAGCCATGAAGGAGAATAATGTTAGCAAATCACAGCTGAGTTCTAGTTCTGCTTCAGATCTAAATGTTGATGAAAATGATGGTGAAAATCGAAATCAAATTTGTATCACTTCATTACGTTTAATGTTTTAAAGCTCATCTTCATTGTCTATAAGCTACAACCAGATTTCTGCTCTAATGCAAATTTAAAGCTTCTTTGTGTCATTTTTGTGACACGTTCAAACATTGCTCTGTTGTTTGAGTGGCCTGACATGTCTACTTCCCGCTCAACCAATGGCTTGAGTTTGGGGTGGGACTAAACATTTGGCTGAACCAATGGCAGACAGTCATTATTTTTCCAGTTCTACTTGGTGCTATTAGTGGCACACTGAGGCTCATGCCAACATGAAACCAAAACGGCATGTTCTTGGTCTTATACATGACTCATTTGTGCATATTATTCCAAATAATAAAAAGTTAATGTTTTATCCAAATTTAATACCATGCAATTTTTCATTGAATACAAATTAAAACATAAAAACAAAATAGTGCTTCATGTTGATTTTAAAGGTATAGTTCACCCATAAATGAAAACTTGCTGAAAATGTGCTTACCCTCAGGCCATCCAAGATGTAGATGAGTTTGTTTCTTCATCTTCATCGAGAAATGGAGCATTACATCACTTGCTCACCAATGGTTCCTCTGCAGTGAATGGGTGCCGTCAGAATGAGCATCCAAACAGCTGATAAGAACATCGCAAAAATCCACATGATACTAGTCCATCAATTGTGAAGCGAAAAGCTGCATGTTTGTAATACCATGCACACCATGCATTTTATTTTATGTGATTCAGTGAATAGTATTTTATGCTGTTTTTTAAATGATATTTAATGACCATTTCTGAATACTTTACATAATTATCATGTTACACAATTATACATTTTCTCATCTAATCTTTTTTAAGCTTATCTCCGGTTTCCTGTTGTAATAAAAAGGGGATCATTTTATCATTCCTACAGACACCGAGTTTGTGCATGATAGAATTATACTTCCAGCAAACTGAAAGCTCTCAGTCTGGACCTACAACCACTTCTGTAAAAAGCTATTCATTTCCGTGTTAAAAAGCACATTATATTCTCAGTTCATTCACAGCTGTTTCCTTGAACTCTGCACCCTCTGTAAATAAGAGGAATATGTTGCATATATGCTTTTTCTGTAGTGTGCTCACCTTGTTTTCACTAGTGTTTAATTTGAAGGCCACAAGTGTCACAGTCTGTTGTTTTGTGTAATTCTGAATAGGGCTGAGTATGACTTCTCCGACCCTCTTTGAGCTCCTGTGGCAGGTCATCGGCGGCGCATGTGGTTTGTATTAACGAGCACCTCCAAATTAATTAAGTGACCCCAGGCAAGTGCAGGGCCACCCTGTCCTGTCTTACATTTGGAAACATGTTTCATTTCTTCGAAAAGCTATACGCACATATGCAAAGAATTAAAGGCCGTTTTAACCAATCAATAATAGAATCAAAGTGTTTTGCTGCAGGAGATTTAACTGCAGGAGGACGCTGTGTATAAATGTGACACAATATCAGTCACAGTGATCAGGAAACACTGCTCTTTCTTAATTTAACCTTGTATTTTGTTTCAGGAGCAGATTAAATTAATCCAGGCACACCAGATAATAAATATGGCTGTAAAATATTGTATAATAATGTGCTGTATAATAATGATTGCTAAGGTGTTGTTCATCCCAAATTCAAAGCACACAGAGACAGCCACTGCTGCATGCATGTCATCAAATATAGTTGCATTTGGTAGCAATGCATTATTGAACTTAATTGCTTCAATTTACAGACAGACCAATAAAGTTTCTAGACTGATTAATCAGATTATATAATTATGAGGTTATCACTCTACTTGACTGGTTGATTAACAGAAGTCACACTGTCTAAAGTTTTCGCAAAATATTAATATAATTAATTTTTAACGATGGAAATCATATGTTTTATCACAATATCACAATAATAAAAAACATGGCTGAACTTTAAAATTTTTGAAGGATGTTTATTTTTTGCAACGTCTTTTAAATTGAACATAGAAAAACAGGTGATTGATTTATTTAAAAATATATAATAATGTGCTGTATAATAATGATTGCTAAGGTGTCGTTCATCCCAAATTCAAAGCACACAGAGACAGCCACTGCTGCATGCATGTCATCAAATATAGTTGCATTTGGTAGCAATGCATTATTGAACTTAATTGCTTCAATTTACAGACAGACCAATAAAGTTTCTAGACTGATTAATCAGATTATATAATTATGAGGTTATCACTCTACTTGACTGGTTGATTAACAGAAGTCACACTGTCTAATGTTTTCGCAAAATATTAATATAATTAATTTTTAACGATGGAAATCATATGTTTTATCACAATAATAAAAAACATGGCTGAACTTTAAAATTTTTGAAGGATGTTTATTTTTTGCAACGTCTTTTAAATTGAACATAGAAAAACAGGTGATTGATTTATTTAAAAATATTCCAAGTGTTATTTTTCTTTATTTAATCAACGTTTCAAACAAACAAAACATTTTATTGTGAATATTGTTCAAAATGATAATTTTTTTTCTTGTAAACATCTTTTCCATCCAAATTTTTTTTCTTTCTATTTTTTTCATTCCTTTTTTTTTTTTTATCCCTTTAAAACTAACAAAATCCAGTTTATTAATGACATCATCTTCCAAGAAGTGACATCATTTTTGTTGGGGGAGAAAACAACAGAGAAAACAACTTTCTTTCTTTCTTTCTATTTTTTTCCTGAATCGCTTTAAAACTCACAAAATCCAGTTTCTTAATGACATCATCCTCCAGGAAGGGACTTTTGTTTTTTTTTAATTAATTTATTTTTTTAATTTATTGAAATTCATAAGATCCTGTATTTTTACAAGATCCTTTATCTTCAAGATCTTTTCCATCCTGATTTATATATATATATATATATATATATATATATCCCTTTGAAACTAACAAAAGCCAGTTCCTTATTGACATCACCTTCCAGGAAGTGTCATCGTTTTTGGTGGGAGAGAACCCAACAACAGAAACATCGGTTGGTATTAACAATGAATTAAAAGAATTCTGTGATGTTTAATGATACATATTTACAGAAATGTGTATCATGAAACATCTCATTCAGTTAAAACGAGCAGCAGAAATTCCTAAAGTTCTGCTTTCGACATTTCTCATGCCAAAGCACTCCAAAAATAGCCAGATGTTGAGGCTTCTTTGAGCGTAAATTCAGAGAGTCCAGCTAAATTGTGATCTCCAGACTGATTTCACACCACAGCTCGATCCCTCAGGACCTTGGCATGCGTTGGATCTTATTCTCGCCGCCACGGCGCCTCGTGTTGGTCCCGCAATTTGACTGACAGGTACAAATCTGTGTGAGGTGGAGGGCGCCTCCATCACGGGCTGCAGCAGATGGTTGAAATAATTAACATGATGCTGTTCTCATCGCAGGGGAAATCAGTGGCATGGAGATCATGCCGCTGCTGCTTTAACACACATACAGTGAGGAGTTTAATGGTAACATTAAATGAAGGGATTTATGAGACATATGGGATTGTGCTGTGATGATAAGAAATGCACCGTCATAGACTTACAGCAAAATATGTATTTCAGTGGTGAAGATCAAGCCGATATTTGTCCACTGTCAAAAAAATCTTTGGCCGGTAACCTATAAAATGTGGTAACTTCTCAAGAATATCAACCTGACTACACAGGTTACGCTAATGAAAGTAATTTATAATGGATCGCGCTAACAATGGCACATTTTTGCTTTTCACACTGCAAAATCACTGTAAACAAGGTGTGTGTGTGTGTGTGTGTATGTAGCTAAATATATCCATGTCTGCCTCCAGCACATTTAAATATGATTTACTGCCGTCTGAACTTCAGCATCAGCATCAACGGCAGCTCTTGAAGACGCAAGGCTGATTTTCTGCTGTATGATGCCACACCAACTGGCATTATGGGACTGGCTGCTATCTAGAGGAGGTGACTGTGACTGTGTGTGTGGGCGCTGTTAGACAGCTGGAGGAGTGGACGAGCATCAAGGCCATGCATTCATGTCCATCTGCTTGAAAAGAGATGGAAGGTCTAGTGTTGATAATGATGAAATTAATAAAGGCCAGAAGATACAGGGAATTAAATTGCTAGAAATGACGCAGTAAAAAATGTGTTGTCAGGTAACCTAAAAAATGTGGTGACATCTAACTTGACTGGTTTTATTGAAGTCAAATATATTAATAATAATTTTAATATGACAGAATGAACCAGATTGCACCAATTAAAGTCATTTGTAATGATCAAATTGCACTCTTTAAAATAAAGGTTCCAAAAGAGTGTTTTTGCAGCAACACTGTTAAAAATAGAGGTCTTCTGTTGGCATTGATTGTTCCATGAAGAACCTTTAACATCCTTGGAACCTTTCCATTCCACAAAAGGTTCTTTTGATTTTTTTAAATGTTCTTTAGACTTAAAAAAAGGTCCTTTTAAGAACTGATCACTGAAAGGTTCTTTGTGGAACCCAAATTAGTTCTTCTGTGGCACTGCTGTTAAAACACCCTTTTGGAACCTTTATTTTTAAGAGTGAGTGCTATAGAAGAACTATTTTGCCCCAAAGAACCATTCAGTGAACAGTTATTAAAAGAACCTTTTTTTTCTTAGTGTGAAGAACATTTTAATAATATAAACAATATTTTTTTCCATTATAAAGACCCTTTTGTACAATAGAAAGGTTCCATGGATGTTTAAGGGGTCATATGATGCGATTTCAATCTTTGGAGTGTTACAAGCTCTTGGTGCATAAAGAAGATCTGTAAAGTTGCAAAGACTAAAGTCTCAAATCCAAAGAGATATTCTTTATAAAAGTTAAGACTCGTCCACGCCCTCCTAAAACGGCTCGTTCTAACACGCCCCCACATATCTACGTCACGATGTGGGAAGATTTGCATAACGCCGCCCAAATGTTCACGCAAAGCAAGAATGTGTAACTTTGATTCTCGCTGTAGTATTGTTGCCGCCGCCGCCATGTCCTGAAGGCGCCGTGTGTTTCGTTGTGAAAGCGAAACTACTTTGTTTGGCCTTCCAAAAGAGGACACAACTAGAAATCAGTGGTTAAGTTGTATTTACAACACTGTTCCGGAACAGTTCAACCCAAATATTCAGATGTGTGCAGCGCATTTTATGGAGGACGAGGACTGTTTCCTGGAAGAGTAGCCTATAATGCCAGTGTCTGTTTCTATAAAGTGGGGCAATTTCAAGGCAAGGAGGACAGTCTGGCGCTTCTGACTCACAGACTGTAAGTACGTTTTTAAATAATGTGTTTTTTTTAACCTTAAACTGCATAAACACATTTCATTACACCAAATACACAAAATAATGTTATTTTTAGCAACATCATATGACCCCTTTAAAGATTAGGTGGCTATTACTTTTGTAAACGCGTTAGAGAAAAGTGAACAGTACCTGATGTCTAATTGGTCATTTTACGGTTTTGGCCACTGAAACGTTTTTAATTGTTCAAACATTTAATTATATATTTAAAAAAAAAAAACTGAGGGTCTCACCACGCCCCCAAACATCGTGCACACCTGCAGGTTTAACGCCGCACAGTGCGGTGAGTTCGGAGAGTCTGACCAGAACGCATCCGCTCCTCTGAGAGCCGTGTGACTCCGGTGATGTGTTAACAGAGATCAGATGGATTAGTATCATCTCTCTGGATTCCCGTCATGAGAATATGATGACTTTCAGAAAGCCTCTCTCTCATAAACACTTGAGCGGCTACATGCGCGTCAGGAGCCGCAGGGGAAACTGGCTCGCGGTGGTTCTGCTCCGAGTATCTCGCCGGGATCTGTTCTACTGTCTCACCGCTCTCCTCATATTCTGCCTGGGCTCTGTGTTCTATCAGTTAAACGGAGGAGCACCAAAAGTCCTGCTGGATGTGGGTTATTATCTCGGTAAGACCTTAAACATACTGTGTGCGTTTATCAGGATTCATGGGGTAAGTTGACACAATGGAATCTGCTGTCTGCCTATACAATACTTTTAAAGGACCTATTAAAGTTACTTAAAAAGTTATTTATATATATATATATATATATATATATATATATATGTATTATTATATATGTTATATATATTTTTTCTTGTCCTGAGTTCATATATTTCGTAAATATTTTTTTGTGTATATCAGTGTATTTTTTCCCACTACTAGGTGTTTAAACAAAATCACTACTAGAGAAAACAAGCATTTGTATAATTGGACTTTTGACTCAAAACCTCACATTTTATTTATTTATAAATGTTTTCATGAAGTTAGTGAAAAAAACTTTTTTAAGTAGCTTTAATGGGTCTTAAAAGCATTGTATTATAGTATTAGGGTCTAAACGGATCTTCTTTTGCTTACACCGCAATATGAACTTATAGGTTTCCTGACATGTCTGACTTACTGAATTCACCTTAATGATTCAGGTTATGAAGTGTTAGCAAAGCCTGATACTGTAGTTGTGTTCTCAGATCAGCGGCATCAGTCAAGGTTCATAAAGAGCAGACTGTCAAATTTGCTCTCTCTGCTATTGGTCTATAAGACACCAGTGTTGTTCTTGGCTTTTAGAGCAGTGCATGAGACCCACCGGTGAATTCCACACGAGTCCATGTAAACTCATGATATGAGGCCTTTCATTGTCCTACAATGACTGATGGAGGAGTGGAAGAACCTGTGGATTTCCAAAGCATCAGTTCTTAAAATACTCATATAAAAGATATCAGTCTTACATTTCAGTACCCAAGTCTACAAATATTATACAGATGATGGAACATTTGGCATTTCATCTCAAGAACTATAAGGAGTGTATCACACAGCAACGTCTACTTGTGAAATTCAATATGCACAATTATATGTAAAGTATATGGCAGGCACACTTCTATTTATTTTTATTTTGTTTTAAACTTTTTAGGGAGATTTGCTGATGGCCATGGATCTTTAGCACCCAGAGTAAGAGCATTGCATGTCATACTATAAGATTTGAGTGCTTGAATCTCATTTGTGACCGTAATGTCCGACAATCGACAGATGCATATACGTTTATGCCAAGATTGTTCTTTAGTGGAAACGCTTTGAATGTTGCAAGAGTTGTCTCTGTTGCAGGCTCTACCTTTCCCAAGTCAGGTTGTGTATAACAGGGTGGGTAAGTGTGGCAGTCGCACTATAGTTCAGTTGCTGCGCATGCTGGTGGACAGACATCGGTTCACTCTCATCTCCTCTGATATTCACAACAAGACCAGACTCACCAAACGTGAACAGGTAATCAAAAATGAATTGCCAATGTAAACAATGTCTTGTTTTACGAGCGTCACATTAGCTGCCAATTCATCATTATAATTCCAGTATGCCAATATTTCAGCCATCATCCACCACTGAACCATCATTATCCCCCCCCCCTCCCCTCCCTTGTCTGCTCAAAATGTTTCAAGAAAAACAATTTCTTGTGAATATTGTTTGAATGACTAATCAATTAATAGTATTTTCCTGTATTTTCAAGATATGTTTCACCATTGAAATGCCACAGAAGAAAAATTTTTTCCCAAAGAACCTTTCAGTGAACATTTTTTTTTCTTGTGTGAAGAATATTTTAATAATTTAAAGAACTTTTTTTCATATATAATGTACCTTCTGTGCAATGGAATGGATGTTAAAGGTTCTTCATGGAACCATTAATGCCAATAAAGAACCTTTATTTTTAGGAGTGTAGGTCAATTCTCCTTTTATTCTGCAGGATAATTTCTCTTAGTTTCTCATTAGTTTTTCTTAAAAAGTGTTTTGACTAGATTAAAAACTGAAAGCTGCCAATTAGGATATTTTGATCCTCAACGTGTGTCCTGCATCGCTCATGTCGATAGTGTGAGATTATTTTATCATTAGTGCTTGTGTGTGTGGCGTAGAGACGCGGTGTGTCTCTGAGTATAGCTACAGCATTATCAGTGTGCCATGTTCCCGCTGGTCATGGCAGCGTGCCCCCCTCCAGCATCCGCAGCGTGCCAACAGATGTCTGTGAGCGTGCCCGCTTCTCCACCCTGCCTGCCAACCCTGCGTTCAGCGCCAGCCCTCTGCCCAGCAACACACTTCTACACTTCTGCTCCACACCTTCTTCTCTCTGCCTTTTTTTCTTCCCTTCTTCTCTGTGTTATTCCTCCGTCTCTTTGTTTTCTCTGCACTCATCCTCTCCTCTTTTCACTGCTGATTTCCATCCCTCCATTTTGAGGCTCGTCTTCGGTCTTTGTGTTTTGTTCTCTAGGAGCTGAAATCAAGTAAAACACACAGAGATGATGGTTAAAAATAATCTGACATTCTGTGAAAGAGGACTTAGTAAATAAATCAAATTGTTAGAATAATGATAAGAAATTAGTTATATTTTTTTGACTTTGTGAGGAAAGACAAAAAAATTGGAAGGAATTTTTTTGTGTGTGTGTTTTGCAAATGCAAGTACGATCCTTGTTCTAAAATGATTTAGATTTTTTTTATCACTATTTCAGATATTCATACCCCACTGTCAGAGTTTCACTGAAACTAAAATAAATAATTAATTTAATATTTTACTGAATCTTAAAGAGTTATTTATTATTATAATTTTTTTAACAGTCTTTCTAATTTCTGGATTTTTAATCATTTTTGTTACATATGCACATAAAAGATTAAGATAATTATAGGGAAATTATCAAGATTATTAGAATAATCTATATCTGGTTAATATAAATTATTAGTAGTAATAATTATCAAAAGAAATCATAAAAGGTATTATAGGTGAAATACTATAATAATTATAATAGAAACAGTTCCACTAGTCAGTATTTACCCTAATTTTAAGAATAACGCAAATATTGCATTAAACATAGTATGTTCCTGTTGTCATAACTATAAAACTCTATTAAAATAAAATAGAAAATAAGAGATATTTAACATTAAGCCTTGGATATGTACAGACAGACAATGCTGAAAAATGCTTTCTTAACTCTTGTTTTCTTCTAAGCAGTGAAAATGACAGTATAAAATGCTAATTGGGTTAGTTTTAATCTAATAACCTCTTCACACATGCAATATAAAAAGTAAAAAGGCGCTATTGTTACCTTAATGAGTTATTTATACCTGCCCTGACCCATGAAAATAACTTTTGTTGCTGTCAGGTTGATTCTGCCATATTAAATAACATTTCTGACTTATTTTAGATGTTACCAAATGAAGCAGATTATTTTAGATTACCTGACAAAACATTTTTTACACTGCAGGCTCAAAGAAATGACAGCAAGAGCTGTGAAACATTGCAACACTTAAACACTGTACAGCTTGTGAAACAGCATGTAGACACATTTAGAGAGAACCAGGTTTTCTACAGTTACGTAACTGATGGGTTTTAAGGACAACAACAATTGTTCTGCACTTTTAATACCTATTTAATCATAATCTATCACCACTAACCGAGTACAAGACGTCTTATACCTGATGATCAACGTAAGTGTGTATTGCATGCCATGGACTACATTTTTGAGAAACAGCTGAGGAAAGTTATTTTGTTAAAATGGTTATTTTGCATCCTGACCATCAGAAAGATACATTTTTTTTATGTTTTAGAGCTTTTTTACATAATACAGGCCTAATCATTTTTATTGTATCTTACAACCAAATGATCAACATCTTTATTTTTATCAAAATCCTATTATTATGTCCAGTACTGAGCATAATATCCTCCCCAGGGGATTTATTTGCAGTCTTCCTTTCCATTTAGGTTTGCGAGGATAATATTCAGTGGATATCAGTCACAAACAGCATATGAACTGGCTGTTCGCTCTGACAGAATAATTGCATTGAAATACAGCTGCACACAATTTCTGCAATACCTTCATTAAAGGCTGCCAAGGGAGGAAAATACACAGAATATCGAGTTGATTAATCTATAATTATTAGATTACAAACGGCCGGGCACAGTCCACAACAGTTGCGGTTAATTACATGCTTGCAGGGAGCACTTGCGCCCATGACAGATGTAACAATAACGGCATAATATCACATTTCTGAGCAGAGCTGCCAGTTAATCAGAGACCCTTATTCTAATGCGCCTAATATAATTGTCTGATCCATGCCGTTTCATCTAAAACATCTGGACTAGAACGTTTGGATTTGGTGCTATTTATTTCTCGGTTGTTTTGTGGCGTGATGGTTTTGATTTTGCAGAAGCAGAAGCAGCAGCACGACGCGACTAGAAAGAGAAGAAAAAATGCATCTGTGTGTATATTTTCACAGAGAGGTTGGGTGTAGACAGCTCTGAGAAGTGAATCTACATCTGCCAGCCTCCATGCAAATAGCGCCGCCATCCTTAATGGTGAAACCTTCGATGAAAAACAGATAAAAATATTAAATATTCAGACGTCCCTTTCACCCAGTATCAAAAGACTCCAGATGTGCCGGGCCGGAGTTGTTATCGGGCGACCAAACGACAGGCATTGAAAGACATTCCTCTGAATTTCAGACCATATAAAAGTGGTTTATACGATGCAAATGAATGGTAATTTTTGACTATGGAGGAGAAACGGGGGTGGAGATGCCAATAAACCCTATCATTTGGGACTAAAAGTCCACAAACGGGAGACACTTTGGATTCGCCTTGCCTGTCTTCCCGTGTTAGATGCCCGAGATTGCCGCGAAATTAATCCATTTAACAATCTGTGGCTTAAAATGTAAGGATTTCCAGTTTTTTGGAATATCAATAAGTTCCAATTGAAGAGAGAATTCTTTTGCAATTCAGGCATGTGCGGGCGATAACGGAGGAGTTGGCATGGAAGGCAGGCAGAGATGGATTAATTATGCAGGGAACATGGAAATTCTGCTTATCAACGCTTAGCAAAGGAGCCCAGCTCACATAATCAGAAAAACCAGGATGAAAAAATATAACAATGCGGAGGCACCTTCCAGCTCATCGTCTTACAAGTTAGATTCTTCCTGTAATTAAAAACTAACATACAATTATATTCATATCTCATAGGCAGACTATGAGTGGTTATGTGTTAAATATCAGCAAGGGGTATAAGGGCTAAGGTGGGGGTATTTAAAAAACACACACACACCGTCTTACACGGGGATGGAGGTCTCTTGGGACGGATGGAAGTACTTAGCCGGGAAAACTTAAATTATCATTTAAAAGCCAGGAAAGACAAAGCTAGCGGAGCTCAGATACGCCCGCTTATTTACTGCTGGCAAGCAGGGAGGATATATATGCTCTGCTGCATTCAGTTCTCACTTATCACGGGAAACTTTGAAGGGAACGTCAATGGATAGGCTGCGCAAATCCCAACAGAGCATGTGTGATTCTGGCACGCGGACCTTTGGCGGTGTTTTCACTACAGCGATATGGTGAATAATGCAGAATGATGGGTCATTTACACTTTTGCGTTTAGAAAACTGGGATTTTGCAGTAACGCTCGCAAAGCTCTTTGTTCCTGATACCGTTTGGTGTTGCAAGGAACAGGAATAAGGTGGCGAAGCTTAATCCAAAACAGACCCTGATTTCTGCTGTGTTTCTTTCGTTCTGTTGAAGATACCTCTGTTTCCAGTTTTGTTGTTCTATCAGAACTGCTGTTTGAGCCGGAATGACTATTACAACTACAAATGCAAGGATCATGAAAGTTTCAGAGCTTCACTAACTGTCCTTTCACCAGCAAACACCAGTAGCTTTTAAAAGAGACTCCTTGCAAATACATTTCTCACTCGTGACCCTTCCAAACTTTTACATTTTAGCAAATCAATTAAATTAAATGGTGGAACAAAGCATTCCCACAATGCTTTGTGAGTTTCTTTGACCCAATAGTTCTAAAAAAGCCTAAAAGTCTGAAGTTTCATTCACCTGGCATGTTGGCGATACACACGAGGACTGATGAAGTTTGGTTGTGGTTTCTTCTCCTTGTCTTTCTTCTCTGTAAATGGTGTTGAGCGCAACACTGTGAAAGAATGAACAAAAGACAAATAGTGTAAAGCTGAAATAAATGCATTTAAAAGAATAGTTCACCAAAAAAAAATTTACCCTCATCCTCCCATGCTGAAAAAGAAACCATATTCAACATCAGTCATATGACACTGTAGAGACAAATTTTTGCATTTTTTAAAATAAAGAATTAAATATTTTCTTTATGTATATTTTCTGTCTATATGTATATTTATTCATCTTTTTTTACGTAAACAAGTTTACTTACAATAAAAGCACTGCAACACATGCCTTTTTTGTTTTTTTAGATTTAGTTTTTCGAATTTAGAATTTCAGCGAAGGGGATTTTCAGTGAAAAATTTTAACAACATAAACCTGAGGTCATATTACAGTTTTTTTTGTGAAGAACAAACCAAAAATGTAACTCCTTTTGGAATATAAAAGACTTGGAAAATAGCACACTGAGCCCTTTCACTATTTTCTGACCACACTGTAAAAAATTACAGTGAATTTAGCGGTAAAAGACTGTAAAAAATGCTACAATAAAAATCTGTTAACTGGTTAACGGTAAGTTCCCCTACTATATATACGGTGAAAAACTGTATTGGACATTACATGTAATTTATATATTATTATATACGGTAGTATACCGTTTTTGGAAGTGAAAAAGATTGTACAATTTACAGTGAATAACCGTAAATTGACATTCCCAGAATTCCCTGCATTACATTTCAAATTTTATGTTTCTTCTTAGTTTTTTCTTATCAGATTTGTATATTAGGGTTGTATGTTACATCTAATGTTGCTCAATTAATGTTTATTGCATTATTTCAGTTTCATGTGTGTTACCATGATGGTGTTAAGTGTTTGTGTGAATGACACTGTGCACCTTCTATATATGTTAATATTTAAAAGCTGCTTGTGATAGGCTTTGGTTCATCATGTGATTTTCTTATCACCACCTGCTTTTTGTGCAGCGTATTACAAAGGTACAAAACAGATTTCAGTACTTCAGTGGATTGGTATATTAACATTATATCAGTTAATTAAATTACGGCATTTAACTGTAAATTTAAGTTAAAACCGTAAAACCTAAAACGCTGCTACCGTATTTTTTTACGGTAAAGTTCTGGCAACCACAGCTGCTGGTTTTTTACCATAAATTTTACGGATTTTTTTTTTACAGTGCATTTTTAACTGTCTTGAACATTCAGACTACTTTCCAAAACACTAATATTAGTTTATTCAGTTTATCTTTAGTGTTTCTTTATCAGAGTGCATCTGCATTCATCTAACTGATGTTCACTCTCGTATAGCTACAGTACACACACCTCAGTCACCG